CTGTATTCCTTGCTTTAACATTGACTGGCTCAACCTCCTGGCACACACCCAACAATGCTCTTTCCTTAGGTGTCTGCTCACATTTAGAGAAATTAGCCACTGTTATGGGTACAACTTGATGACCTGCCACAAGTGACCTTCCAATCTTCACGTCTGCTGGCCTGGATGGATCTTCACTGCTTTCACAAGCACTGGGCTTCCTTGGGGATGTTCATTTATTCTATCCCAAATTATCTTCTCTGACATAGGAGATGTTGTAGTTGACTTAAGTGCTGTGATTCTCAAACCAACAGATGCAGCAACACTTACCAGAATGTAGCCTTTGTTGTTCCCAAACATCATTTTATCAAAGTTAACTACACACTTCCTCGGTAGTAAGTAATCCAACTGTAATATGCATGGGTCTTCAATGTCAGCCAAGTATACTTTCTGTCTATCCTTTATGCCAAAGAGCTCCATAGTTACCCACACCAGTCCCCACAACCTTGCAGAATTTCCTGTCACACCATAGGGTTTCTGTATCGCTTCTGGTACTCCTTTGTGATCTAGCACCTTGATACTCAGAAGGGTTTGCTGAGATGCAGACTCTATGACAAAGTTGCACTTTTGGCCATCCAGCTTTCCTTTCACGTAGACACTATGTGTGCTTAACATTTTACACATATCTGTTGGGACTTTCACGATGGTGGTTTGTGGGCATCCCTGAACACCAACCACTACTGGTTTCCCCGAGGCTGACTTATTGGTACTATTCTTCTTACACTGGCTCCTCATGTATCCTTGCTCTCCGCAGTTCCAACAACCTTTCTGGATAGCAGCCATTCTGCCGTGTCATCTTTCCTATGTTTTAGTTGCCGGCATTGAGCTCTCTTTTGTCCATGTTTGTTACAGTGCCAGCAAAGTCCCTCAAACGTTCTTGAAATTGGCCTTTTCTGGCAACATTGGTACCTCTGTGCTGAACTTAACGTAAGATTCAAATTCAAGAGCTCTGGACATTGCATCTTGCATAGTAGAGGGGTGTGCTTGCTTTACTTGTATCTTCAGTTGTGGACTGTCCAAGGCATCTACAAACTGATTCCTCTGCAACAGCTTGAGGACACTGGGTGGTGCAGTTGGGTAGGCCTTGTGTGCCATATTTTCCAAGTCCTGTGTCAGCTCTTGCAGACTGTCCCCTTTAGCACGGACTCTAGTCCTAAACCTAGCCCTGTAGACTTCAGACTGATTTTGGGTTTCATACCTGAGTTCTAAAGCAGCAACCAGTGCTCTATAGTTGTGCTTGTCATCTGCTGACAACTGTCCAAGTATTTCCAATGGTTGTCCCTTCAGGCTCGTTGCCAAATACACTGCTTTCTGCCCATCTGTCGATCCATTCATTTCTGCCAGGAGCTCAAATTGTGCCCTATATGCTTCCCATGGTGCCTTTCCATCGATTTCCTGTGGCTTCCTTCGTACTGGATCACC